ACATATAAATAAAATAAAATTATAGTTATTAAATTATAAAAATTTGTTAAAATGTATATTTTCCATTAATGCATACCTTCTCTAAATGCACTCTTTTATTCAGTTCTAAAGGGATGCATTTAGAGAGGTCTGACTGTATCTTTAATTTATTGTATGAAAATATTAATGACCTATATAAATTAATCATTAGAAAATTTGAAAAATTGTATTAACTTAAAAATATAAAAATTTAAATTATACTAATAATATATTATAATAATACTAAAATTTAAATAATCATATTACTTTTCTAAGAATATTTTTAGAAATTTGATTGTTAAGTTAGTTTAAAGTATAGAACTTAGTATATATTACTTCTTCTTAATAACTGTTTTAGCTATAAGTTAGTTAGTCTTATTTTATATATACTGATGTTCATTTTTTACTTCTAAATATAACTTTAAAAATTTAACTAATAGATATTAGAATAATTATGTTTCAAAAAACACTATTATTATTTTCATATATGATAAATAAAATATTAGATTTATCTTGTATTTTAGTATTTGAATCTAACTATTTATTTTTATAAGTTTAATATTACAATATATAGAAGAAGGTAACTAACTATATAGATTTAGAAAAAATGAATAACAGTTATAAAATCCTCATATTAGGTCTAGTATTACAATTGCTAATTTAGAAACTATATATATATATTTTTACTTTAATAGAATAATATAAAAAATATATTAAATTAGTAGAAAAGATCAAATTTTTTAGAGTCAAAAGACAAATTTAATGTAATAAACTAATATAAATATATATTTTTGTTAAAAAATAATTCTGTTTTTACAAGATATATTACTTTTTATATTAAAAATAAATTATGCTTATTGAGATTAAATAAATATATTAAATTTAAAAATATATACAATTAGCTTAAATATACTGAGTTTTAAATTTATATTGTTTAAATAAATAAAGTTAAAGTTTTATTAAATTTTAAATTTATGTAATAATATCTATTTTTCTATTAGTTATTTATAAATGTATACCTTTTATAAGTTTTTATAAGTATATATATAGCTAACCTTAAGTATGTGCACTTATAGAAATATTTTTATATACTTATCTCTTAAACTGTAAATATAAAATTGTTTTTAAAATATTTTTAAAATATTTTGATGTCTAATGATTATAAAAAAATAAAATAAAATTTTTAGATTTATTATATTATGATATATCTAATAATAATATTTATAAACTTTTAAAATTCATAATTATCAATATATATTAATTTTTCAATTTTTAATTTTTAAAAATAATTTATTATTTAATAATTACAAAAAATATAAAATTTAATTTATTTGATTTATCACATTAAGATCTATTAAATGGTAGTATTTTTATTTCTAAAATTGATAAATAGTAAGTTATATAAGTTTAAAATTTTAATTTAAAAAAATTACTAGTTAATTATATATATATTTTTTTAATTTTTACTTAAAAATATTATAAAATTTATTATAAAAGTATAATTTTTTAACAATATATTTTAGAATATTTAAAAATAATTAAAAATGATTGTAATTTATAAATAAAATTATCTACAAATTTGTAAGCAAAACAGTTGCAAGAATAATAATTAAATTTATATTAAAATCTTAAATCTTCAAATTAACTTAATTAAGATAGATATATTTTGATTTTGATTTTTAAAAATAAATAAATTTTGATAATTAAAAATATGAATTTTCTAATAATCTTAATAAAATTATCAATCTAATTATAAAAAGAATTTTTAACATTATAAAATATAATATATTTATTTATATATAAAAAATCAAAATTAAAAGTTAAACTTAAATAATTTAACTTATAAAAGTATAAAGATAAATAAAATTTAAAATAATCAAATAAATTATTAAATTTTTAATTAAATTTTTAAAATTAATATTTTTATTAATATTGTTCTTTCAATAAGACAATTTAAAAATAAAATATTTTAATTAATATTTATTATAAATTTATATTTAACTCTTATAATTTCTGATACTGATCTTATATCTGAAATTTAATTAATAAAGAATTGAAATTTCTATTATTAAATTAATCAAGCATATTTCAAATTTAGTTAAATTGCAAAAGCAAATTTTCATTCTTATAGTATATAAAATCTCATACATATGTAGATAAACTTTCTTAAATAGAATCTTTAATTTTTTTATTTTTTTATTTTATTTTTTTAGTTGTTTTAATAATAAGCAAGGTTTTATAATTGATTTTTATATACTTTGATCTATTATTTGAAAAATGGAAATCAGATGAAAATTAACAATAACTGAAAATAATTTACAAACTAATTATATTAGAAAAATACAATGAATGTCCTGTACATAAAAAAAAACTAATAAGCCTTTTCAAATTAATTTTTTTTGACTTTTCTCTTATTATTTATAACAATAAAATAAAGTCAAAATTTAACTGTTTGAACAGGCTCAATATACTAATATTATTGTCAATTTGAAGTAAAAAATTCGATTTATTTCGATTTGATTACATTCATTTTTCTGAAATGATTTTCTTTTTAAAATTGAATTTTGGATATTATTAAAATGAAATGTCATGTGATATTTTTTTTTTAGTATTGAAAGTGAAATTTACCAATTTTAACGTATACATGTATAAAGAAATAGGATTATGGTTAATTAACCACACAAGTAAATAATTTATATTTTAAAAATATTTATTGCAAAAAAAATCTATTTTTAAATTTGGCAAATTACAATAATAAGATGTATATATAATCCAAAATTGTCAACATTGGATTATGTTAGAAACGTCTATATACATTTACATATATTTCACATTCTACTTTTACCTAAAATCTCTTCGGTGTTAAAAAATTTTTCTTCACTAGGGTCCCACATGTTTTCTTGAACAAATTTAACCAATTTCTCCCATTTTTCTCCTTGTCGAGTTTTAAGTTCTTCACAATCATTTTGTACCATATTAATAATTCGTTCATCGCGTGCTAAACCTTCATCTACTGCTTCAACGATTACCGCTGCAGCCACTTGAGCTGATACATGACGAATGCGACTCACAACGGGATAAAGTAATTCCGACGATCTTTCTTCTTCTGTCAACGAAGTTGCCAATGCTGATGCAGATGTATATATTTGTCGATCAGTGATACGTTCTGG